TTTTCCAGCCCCTTAGTGTCTGTGTGCTGCACTAAGACCTTGCCAGCCTCCACTGAGACAATTGAGCTGGCTCTGCTATAGATATTTTTTCTGTGCTAACCACCTTTTCATACTGAAAGGGCAAAATGGATAATGGAGAGAACTGCAGGCTTATTAGCTGTATTATTACCACAAATACCATGTAGGCTTTATTTAGTGTGATACAGAATTGTCAGCTTATTTGTTAATGAAAAACAGACTTAGCATGATCTCAAAATTATCTCAAAATTAGCTAAGGGGAAGACAGTCATGATTAGGGCTGTTTCTAACAAAAATCAATTCTTGGTTACTATTAAGTATATAAATAGATCTGAGCCGTTGGACTACTACTTCCTGAAATCTGTAGAAAGCAGACACAATGAGGAAGACCAGTGAAAGCAAAACATATTTTCATCCAAATACACCAAGATGGAAGAAAATGAAGTGTATGTTAGCCTATACTGCGGCAGGACTGTATTTTGGAAAGGGACTGAATGATAAAAGTAAATACATTTCCAGAGAACGTGTCTGCGCTGTGCTGTGTTGTGCTGAAAAAAAGCTAATGTGATTCTTGGATGTCAGAAAGGAGCTATAGAGCTCCTCTGTCCTCCTTTGAACGAAGTGAAATTACAGGGAATACTTCCTGGGTTACTTTGTCTGCTTCAGATAGCTGTGTTTTAAAAAGCAGATGGAAATATTGGATGAAGTTCCAGGGAGTGCACAGAAATAACTTACTCTGGGAATACAAGTCTGAGTGCTTTAGGAACATGGAGCCTTTTCTCATCTTGTCCTAGATAATCTTTTCTCTGCCTCAGAAAAAAACCCCAGAAATATTTGTAGATCTCAGAGTCTCCAGTCTCAAAGGCATGAAATCCTTTTGTCTAGCTGAGGCTGAAGGACACAGAATGGTGGTATCTGAGGATCATTAGAAAGTACCTCTTTTGCTTTTAAGGAATGTCACTTGGGTCTGATATTTGACCAGGCTGAGCATTCTCCAAGGAAAACAGATAATTTTCTAACATAAAAGACAAATAGCAAAAAAGTTTCTCCTAGCTTGCTTTATGCAGAAAAGGTGTGCATAAAACCTTCCCCTGATACATAAGATGAGCCTTTCATTTCTCTTAAGCAAAAAGTAGGAAGGACTGTTTTAACTGTGTTTCGGTTGTTATGCATGTGTTCTACAGCTATCATATGCTATCGGTCTGAGTCATCCTCTTGCAATCTCAGTGTTTCATTATGGAACATCAGACAGATCTGAAGAAGAACTGCTTGAGATTGTGCAGAAAAACTTTGATCTACGCCTTGGAGCTATCATAAGGTTTGTGTGCTATTAGTATTTACGGAAGGGAATAATGTTTTCAATGCTGTCTTTAACATTTAATGTTAAAAAGTTTCTGGCTCCTAACCTCATGAAAGTCATCTTCATCATAAATCTCTAATTGCTGTCATTTCTGCTTTTCCCTCGCCTACTCACCCAGTACAACATACAAGGGCCAATTAATAAATCTGGTCACAAAACGTACTAATAAGTAAGACAGGTCCAAATTACACCAGTAACCCTGGTAGTGTGCTACATTGTAGTTCACTAGCCAGGTGGCAGTGTGCTTGGTAAAGTAGAATTTAAATTTAACATTAGATGTAGTTAGGCTTTCCAGTCTGTTTACAGGATGTGTAAGACTCCTAATCCCTGCCTTATCTGGAAGGCACAAGAAATATCGGCTCTTTCTGAAAGAAGTACCAGGCTAAGAATCGTCTCCCTGCCTTTGATCCTTAGGTGGCAACAACTTGTGAGACAGCTGCCACAAGATGGAAAGGTTCTGGTGCTCTCACTTCACAAGCAATCCCGTTAAAATGAGTGGGATGTTCTGTGCTACTATTTGCCCTTGCTCATGCACAGAAGCTGAGTGTCACCCTACCACAATAGTGACAGGATGGTGTTTGCTGTTGCTGTTCTGGGGATTTTGGCCATTAGCCCAGAAGAGAAAAGAACATCCTCAAGTGACTAGCTTCTTCATGAGGTGTAAGTGTAACCTACCTTATCTGCATCAGAAAAACTGAACACTGAGAGCCTGTCTGTAGCTGTCATGCATTCTTCTGCAGCCTGTTTGAAGCCAACTAAACTTAATTAAAAAGGAATTCAGGTTTCTTAAATGCTCTCTTAAGATTTGGTAAGCCACTGAAATATTCTATGCATTTAAAAAACAGAAAAAGAATAAAAATCCTGTCATGAGATGAGCTGTCTTTAAGTGAAAATTCAGTTGTGATCAGAAGTGTCATGCAGTCAGAGAGGACAAGAAAACCCAAACCTACTTACATGGCCTCCTGCAGCCAACCCAGCTATATTCCTTTCTGGAATGTTTCTGAACCTGAAAAAGCAGGTCTTTAGGCAAACATAATCCTTATGCTTAAAGAAGCATGGGAATTACCCTTTTCTTTGAGAGAAGAAAGGGCTGGAGGAGAAAAGCAGATCAGCACCTGTCCTTATCAGCAGTTAGCCACCTACATTCCAGGGAACTGTAATTTGACCCTAGTATTTTTCCTTCTTTTTCTCCCTTTCATGACTAACTCATATGATGCTTTATATGAACTCTTAGGAGGTAGAATCTCTTGCCTATTTGTAGGACAGCTTCCTAAGACCTAATGGTACAAGCTTATCTCAGTCCTGAAGAACTTTTGAATCTCTTGGCTGATTTTCACCAAACTTTACAGGCTGGACTTCTTAAAAGTTTCATGAAATATGCAATTAATGGAGAGAAACACTATCTCTTTGCTTTTCTAAGGGAGTAGCCACACTGTAAGCTCACCCTTTATTAAACTCTGTGAAATTGACGTGGGAGCTCAAGCCTGAGATAGATACCAGCAAGAAGCTGACTCCATGCAGAAAGGAACCACTTTGTCACTTTGAGCAATGCAAGTTTTAAGACCTTTGTTCCAAAATGCTAAAACATACATGTTAGATATCTCATTATTCGAAGAACATGCTTGTAATGATTCACTTCTCTTTTAAATCCAGAGCTATTAATGTCATTCTAGTCTCTATATTCCAGAGGAATCTTGAGCGTATTTGACTCTGAGGGGAGAAATGTCAACATGTTAGTGAAGTCTCTTTTTTTCCCTTAAAAAAAGGAAAGACATTTCTGACAAGCTATATCAACATTTTCCTCGTGTAGCCAGCCTTTTGCATTCCTTTTCAGAATGCTTCCTGAATATACATGCTGAGGGTAGAGCTGACATTTTTAATAGTCAGAGATAATGCAAGGCATTATGGCAACTTCTGTTGCTACGTAATGTTTTCCAAGTGTTATCAGTTCACAAGTATAATCAAATCTCTTCTTTGCCTTTGTCATTATGACAGTTCATTGCCATCAGTAATTTGTGTGGTGGTTCCCAGACACTTTCCTTGATTCGGTGTGCTCAAAAATGCTGCATTTTTAAAATGCATTATCACAGCCCTGGAAGTGGTGAAGGCCGTAAGGGAGTAAGAAAGCAGGCAAAAACATGAGCATTGTTTAGTGAATGTTTCCTTGTTAAATGTTACCTCACAATTTTTAAAATCCTGTAAATGGTGCTGGCTATCCATTCTAATCAACTATGCACCAAAGTACTTCATGATGTCTTTCTTTTCATGTAGTCAGCACTCACATTTTGATGGCTTTTGTATTAGGGTCAAGCACAAATGACTGTAGTAGCCATTGCAGCATGTGATCATGTTGCACAAAATATTACTTGAAACAAAACTTAGCTGCTGTACCTCATAAATGACCCTGTAAGTGCAAGAATGTGAACTCTATTCACCATCTAAAACGTATTCATTACCCTGTTAGTATTTGTGGTTCTTTCCTTCTTGCCATTCCTCCACCAATTTTCTCTCCAGCAGGTGATGATATGAATCTATTTTAAGTGTGCTTTCAAAGATAATTAAACAACATAACAACAAATAGAAGAAAGCCCAAGTAGAAGAAAATATTTCAGGCCTTTCATGAAATGAAGAGAAACTTCTGTGTAGATACCTGTAGCTAATCATTTAGCAGAGCTTCAATCTGCTGTATTATGCAGGCCAAAAAGCAATAATCGTGACTTTCACCTTCATTATTTATCTAGCCATAATTAGTGTTAAGCCCTATTATAAATGGTGACTTTGTGCATCTATATAAGTAGTTAAACTTCCACAGTTACCCAGTCTACTAGATTATCATCTTTGGCTGATTCTTTTGAGATCAGCATTGTCTTTCTGGCACAGTAGCATTAGAAAGTATTCTATATTACACTTGCAATAACAGAAAACACATTGATGCTTGCATAGTTATAGTTGAACTTTATTCCAATTGTAATGCTTCTGCACTGTAATGCTTATAAAGCCTAACTGCATACTTACCGCATCTCTGATACATTTGAAGAAAGCTGACTGTTTCTAGTCACTTTAAAATTGAAACCATCAGCTCACTACCTTTCCTGCTGTAAATCCGTGTGATTGTGCAAGGAAACAACACCTAGGTTTTATTGTCTTTCTTCCAGGGATAATACTGATTATCCCTCTGATGTGTCTAAATCATAATATACATTGGAGTAGAGTTAAGTGTAAGACTTGCTTTTTTTTTCTTTTCATTAAGGGAGCTGGATTTGAAGAGGCCAATCTATCAAAAACCAGCATGCTATGGGCACTTTGGGAGAGAAGAATTTACATGGGAAATACCCAAAAAGCTTGTGTATTAAGATTTTCAGAATGTTTCATGTAACTGACAGGTGGTTTAATAATCAGGTAAAATTTCAAGCTGTTCAAGAAAAGACTGTATCTACTGTTTTTTAAATGGCATTCTGTAGTTAATAGATTTACTTAAAATGATTCGTATTTAATTTCTAACTTTCATAGTGGCCTCACACTTTAAATGCATGCTGGTCTATCTAACATACTCTTCAGCTTTGTCTTTGGTAACGTGTGAACAATTTAGGCCTTTGGATGTTATCAGATACTAAGTGCACAGATGGTTGTGGAAGCTGAAGTCATTCCTGTTCTGCCAGGGAAGTCCACTACTGCCTACCCAGTTAACTTTGTACTGAAGTACATGGAAGTTGGTGAGGTAACTTCCAACAGCTCCCTGTAAGAGGAAAGCAGTATTAGCACAAATTGCCATAATTACTTGGGCCAGGACTTCCATCACTACAGCTTTAGTTATGGTCCTTCTAGTCCAAGCAAATTAGTAAAAAAACCCATTTTGAAACATTGTTCATTGTAACCCTAAATATACTTAGCTATAAGGTAGTGTTATCTGTTTGCTTTTAACATTACAGTTTTGTAGGTGAATCTGTGAAAACTGATGAACTCCTGTGTTGTAATTCTTTTATTTATTTATAGTTATTCCTTCTCAAACTGAAATTTTCCATGTCTGCATGAATTGGAATTGGCTATATAAAGTTTCAATTAAGTTTCATTTGGTCACTTCTGAAATGTAAAAAAAAATATGTAAAAAACAATTGTAGGATATTCCCTTCCTTTGACTTCTCTGGCTGAAAGCACAAAATGGAGAGAGAGAATTCAAAATAATTTACCTTCTCTTCAAGAACTAGAGAGGCTGAAAAGGTTTGTATACAGAAAGTAGTGATTCTGGCAAACAAATTTATCATCAAATCACAAACTAAGATAGAATGTTGGAATGCTGTGACCGCTTTTACTTAGTATCAGGGAATTTTAAGAGACAATTAAGCAATATGGCTACCCCATCCATCCCCAATAAGGGAAAAATATAGGCTTCAGTGGTAAATCTAATCAAATGCAAGTAGCTGAATATAACATTAGTCTCAAGCAAGTTTTGAAAAGCTGATTGCTTTCACATAAAGACCAATTGATCCACTGCTCCTTTGACAGACCAGAGCTGAAGTGAGGTCACTGTATGGCTGTACCTGCGCCTTACCGGGCCTGGTACAGTTAACCTGATCTAGCACAGTGGCCCTGCAGTCAGTCTTGTGACCTACAAAAAACACTTTTTTTTTTGTTCTGTAAGAAACTAAATTCATTTCTGGAATAAAAGCTGCAAATTTTTTGTGGGCTTTTTTCCAGTTTTTTATTTAATGACAAATTTTCCTTTTTATCACAGGACCCTGGACCCTGCCTTTGGCTGAAACTAATCCAGTTTAGTATGCACAGGGCCATGTAGACATCAAACGTGTCATTAACCTTTAATAAAATTTGTTCAAATTGGTATTGTCTAGGGAACAGTAAACTAGCTTGCTAAAAATTTTGAAATGTCAGCATAACTTCCGATTTAGTAATATAGGGGTACAATGTTTAAATGGCAGAGATCACTGTATGGTAAACTGACTATAATGACCTTTTGAAAGAGAATTCAGTAAATAGGCATATAGTCTCAATTTTACAGCTGTCTCAATTACAATTATCAATTTTATTGTCATCATACTTCACCCTTCCAAAGATGAATAGTGCTTTGGTAAGAAGCTGTGATGCGAAGAGCATTTTGATGAAGAAAAAGTCTCTTGTTAAATTTAACAAGGAAATGATTTGTTCAGTGGAGGTGGCTCTTAATCATTGTTCATTGTAAAAAAAAAAAAAAAAGCAGATCTTAGGCCTTTCTGTTAGACAGCTGGAGCGTACAGGAGCAAATTGGAACACGGTGTGTTTCAGACAGTAATAACACATTTCTGCAACACTTCTTTCACCTTACTCTCTGGCTTCCTATAAATAGACTTCGAGATCAAAGCTACAGACCTTTTCTTCAAGGAGTTAGATAGTCTTTGTCTCCAGATGACAAATCTTTCTTTCCCCTTGTTGTTGATTTGTGTTTCAAAGTAGCTAGGAGCCCAGCTGCAGAAGAAATCCCTAACCACAGACTGGAACAGGTACAGTATACATCCAATCTCCAGAGATCCTGCCTACAAATTTTAGCAAGTTTTCTAATAAGTAGTGAATTAGTTTTACTTACATAGGGTAGCTAATTTGCCCTACATAAACTTTTTTCTCAAGAACAGCAAAAGACATATGCCTTGTTCGAAACAAGCAAACAGAGAAAAGCTATCTCTGCTGAATTTGTAGCATCTAATCCAAAGTCAGAGACAAAACTATTGCTCCACAAAACCAGTGAAGTAATTTTCTTTGAATGATTGGCATGTTTTCGCATTATCATTCTAGAAATCAATCAACAGAGCTGGAACCTCAAAAATAAAAAAGGGTGCCCAAATCAGGCATAAGCATTAAAATGGCAGTCATTGCTGAAAGTTTAGCTAAATTATAATGTAGCCTACATACACAAGGATCAATCAAAATATTTTTATTTCCAAATGCTGCAACTATTGCTTTATTAAACTTGTTATTTTAATATCAAAGGAACAGGCTCTTCTTTGAAATACGTGGTTACGCTATGTTATAAAAATCTTCCAGAATATAATGGCTCATCGTCTAAGAAAAAAATTATAATTACACATCAGAAGAAGAACACAATAGTTTATGCATTGTGTTTTGCAACTTCATCCAAAGTATGTATAGATATTCAGCTAATACAAAAAAGCTACATGAATGAAGAATCTGTATTGCAGAAAATTACTTGGGTGTACTGTACACTGTAACAAGTGGAGGTATTAGTGGCTGTTCTAGAAAATGATTTTTTCAAATAGTGGATTTGGATGGGCACTTCCAAAAGCCAATGGATGATTCTTACTGGATTGCATGAGGCAGAATTAAACCTAAATCTTTCAAAGGGGCATAGCTTCACTCAAACCTAGACTAGCCAATTAGGGAAGAAAATGAATGAAACAGAAGTGCCAGCTCGGCTCTGAAAGTGCTTCTTGTATACTTCTGGTCTCAGAAGAGATGAAGAGTCTCTGCATGCAAAATGAAGACATTAAATTAAGAAAGGTCAAACCCGTTCTGTTTGCTTTGTGTCAGGATTAGCTTTGTGACTTATGCTTTTGGAGTACATCACAAGAGCAGCTGCACTAAAAAATACAAACCCTGGAGATGTATTTAATCTTCCTTCCAAGGTGTACTTTTGAAATAGTTTTTCAGCTGTGCTGAACCTAATAAACCCTACCTAGAGCCATGCAGACATTATTATATATGCCGTTTTCCTAGCTATATTTTGATTAAATGCTATATAGAGAAATGCAAAGTAGAATGCTAATTCATTACTATTTAATTCATTTTATTCCTAAGGAGCTGAAAGCAATTACTGAAATGGAAATTAAAGTGCATATCTTTTATTACATGCTAATAGAGAGAATGAACTTTTCATGTAATAATTCCTAAGTTTATAGCTTTGCCCTGCCTTGACGTGATGATACAAAAGGAAATCCCTTCTTTACCACCTTCCCCATGCAAGATTTTTGGCCAGAATGACCCTTGGCTCATTCTGGGTGAGGCTGTAGAAGGAAGACGACTGGATGAGAGTTAAAGCAGGAAGGCTGGAGCAGAGCTTTTTCATCAGGAGCTCAACCATCCTGCAGCAGTCCAGTGTGGCTGTCAGAACTGGGATGCAAATTAGTAACAGATGGCACAACCTTGTTTTCCTGTGCTTTTCAACAGGGATGATGCCAGCTTATAAATGGATAAGCCTTACTGCCTTTAACAACTTCAAAAAAAAAATCCATAGGCCTCTCAAGCTGCATAAACAAAAATAAAACATAACTCTTTTTGGCCAAGTACTGTTGAAAACTGGAGCATTTTACCACACTTCTGTCTCAGCAATAAATAAAAAGGTCAACCCCGCTAATGGAGAGCCTTCTAGACAGCTGCACACATTTCAAACTGCATTTTACTTAGTGGTCTGCTTGGACCTTTCTGGTATAGTCCTGGATATTTAAAAAGACAGGTCAGTAAAATATTACCCAGACATTCTTCTAAACTTTTTGGCCAGAAAAGCTGCATCTACATCAAGGCTTTCCTCGCATACCTGCAGTAGCTGGAGTGCCAAATCCATCCTGATTTTTTTCAAATGTAACATTCCTGCTTCTTATCCTACATTTTTTCTTATACTTCCTTTACGTGTAACAGATAGTTACTGCTCCTGCAATCTTTCTTATGACAGACTCCCACTGTAGGCTATGACTGTGCTATCTGAACAATTTCAAGCAACCGGAGGAATTGTGCAAATCTTTAGGTCGAGCTTTTAGTACCAGACCTCCCACTTGGTGCCTATCTGCATACGATTTTTGGACTGAAATTTTGGATTATTTGTGCCAAGATCCTTTCTCAACAGTCAAATCTCTCTTGCCTAAGTAGTAAAACTGCAAAGTTTTAAATACAGTAATTTTTCACTGATTTAATTTTATTTGCTAATTTTCATACATTAAAAATGTACATATTGATAGAGAACCAAGATTCTCAGACAGTAGGTTTAAGGGAATTTCAAGCAGGGATGAGCCTGTACTGCTGCTGAAAGAAAGAAATAGTCCTGCTGCCTTGACATCCTCAGCTGTTTCTTCCAGCCTTTGGGACAACTCTTCTGTGCCGAGGTAAATGTGAAACTTAGCACTAGAACAGGGCCATGTTAAAGCTGGTTGGCAAAAAAAACCCACAAGCAACCCAAAAAAGAGGTCATTTTTGCCCAGGTCACTCAGTCTGTTAGTCAAGGTACACCAGAAACCTCAGTCTTCATTTAAGCTGAAGTATGATTTTTAGTTGCCTCATATTCTACCTGCGACTAGAGTCCTCCTTTTGGGAGTAAGAAAGTTGCTAACAAAAAATCTAGACCTGCAAACACAGAAGGATTGCTTCTGTCATTCCTTATAAATGATCCTGTTCCTTTTCCAGTGGCCTTGTATGAATGAGTGTTTGAAGAGGAATATGCAGGTGAATGATAGGACAAGGGACAATGAGCAGAACAGTATGGTGTAGCACGTCTAACTATCAGTGTTTGTTCGTCCAAAATGATTCCAGCCTTTGCCTGAAAAAAATAATAGGAAAAGTCACAAACCAAAGTGGGCTTGCAGGTAGGATGCTCCTGCTGTGAACAGGGAGTGTGCTGTTCTCAAAGTGGTGATGGTGGTAAGATTCATGATAGCAAAAGAGGTTTTCTTATAGGGAGAATTGCAAGAGAAAAATAGCAGCTGACCGCAACAGATAGAAG